TTTTCTATTCGGAACATACGTACACACAAACATACAGACAGACAAAAGACATTTATCTTTATATATAAGATCAATTTTTTGCAAAAGATTTGCTCTCAAATATCTACTTACTTATCCAAGGAAATGCCTGCCTGGCTTGCCCAATAGAATTTTTACTATTTTTCTTCCTCTATTGTCATGCCGCATTTGAAATTCACCAAATGCGACGTTTATATATGCTGCTGTTTCCATGTGCGTACAGGCCGTTTACACTTCCAAACACTTAATTTCTCAAAGTATTGAACATTACAACACTAGCACCAAAAATATTGTGATATTTCCTTCTTTTATATCACGTTTGACATTTGAGCTACAGCTTTCTGTAAGTAGAATGAGAAATCTTTCAAGCACTTCACCTGTCCAGTCTTCTAATCATAATATTGCTTCACTCTATTTGGAACCAATGGAACCAAAAATGGAAACCAGTCATTTTCAGGAGGAACTAAAAATTGGTAAAATCATAGCCGAAAATCTCGTCGAAGATGGTGCTACTCTTCAGTTAGGTCATAATTGTATCACACTTATGGCAGTAATCTACCAATAGCTGCTTTACAGGCATTGGCGCAATTCCCGACTCAACATTAATAGCAATGAAAAATCACAAAGATCTGGGAGTGCATACAGAGATGCTTGGTGATGGAGTCGTGGATTTAATCAAATCTGGGGCCATCAATAACTCTAAAAAATCGGTTATGCCGGGAAAGGTATGTCAAGGAGTTTTGGAGAAGTTTTCTTTGAAGTATAGTTAGTTTAGGTTGTAACAAGTTTTGCATTTGGAACACAAAAGTTCTACAAATTCCTGAATGAAAATCCAATGATTCGTGAGTTTTCTGCTGTAATCGTTACAGAAAAGAGAGTAACAGAATTCCTCAGATTTCGATTGCTGTAGTTGGACTAACCATTCTGATGTCATAAGAGCTAATTCCAAGATGACGTGTATCAACTCTGGTATCGAGATCGATATCACAGGACAGATTTGCTCCGATTCCATTGGGAAAGCTTTTTACTCGGGTACGACGATTTGCAAGAAAAATTCAATAGCTTTCAGAATATAAGAAAGTTTTTTAAAGGTTTCGGTGGACAAGTAGACTTCATGACCGCGGCGGCAACCACCT